AGGACAGCAAGTTTTCCCGCAGTTCCACGACAACAAAGTATGCTCCGTCCCCCTACTAGCAGACCTCCCCCGGAGGGGGCTGCGTTCAGGATCGGGAGGATGCGCAACCCCCTGGGCCTCTTGAGTAAAGGAGTGGCGGCGAGCAAGACTCAAGCACTGCAGGGAAGGTGTAAAGGCTCCCCCCAGGTGAACAGCCTGAGGTCAACCCTACACCTCCCCCCCTAAAGCCAGGGAGCATCACAAGCTCCCAAAGCCCAGGTTGCAGTACTTGAGCCAAAATGGCTACTCGCTCTCTCTCTCTCTCTCTCTCGCTCGCTTGTTCTTGTCATGCGGACAGTCAGCCGCACCTCGCCAAGATGCATGCTCCTGGGAACGACATTTCACATTTTCGCAACTTCCCCAGACCCGATGGCAAATTCGGCCCACTTGAGTTGCAGCGTGCTTGATTGAAAAATTACTCCCCTCACAAGAGGCAAATGTGGGATTCACCGCTCCTGCGTTGACACAAGTAAGACTCCATCGACTTTGTATAAATTTTGTCGTGTCAAAGCTATGTTGCTCACCATTCAGGCGGCTGCGCGCAACTCCGAACCTCGAGAACTGTGCCTGCAAATTCTTGCATTGTGTAGGACCGACATTGCTCGTCAGGACATCTCGCTCCAGAGCCTGCGGCTTGGACATGAGTGCTCCCTCAGGCGCCCCTCAGTCGGGCTTGTCCTTGTACGCCGTTTGGCACTGCCCATACTCATTGCCATTCTGACCATTTGCTGCGAAAGTTTCACCAGCTCGGTGGCCCATATATTGCCTCACATCATCATCTCCATAGAGCCGCAACCATGCACGGGTTATGCACCCAAAAAAGAAAGATGGTGGCCCATATATTGCCTGATTGGCTGGTTCTGTCTACCTTGCCGGCACAAACTTCTCCCACTCGGTGGGCGTCCCGCCTTCTCGGGAAGTTCGCACCATTTGCCCAGTCGTCCGCTTTTTGGTGCTCCCCACATGCGCTGCGTGGAGGGACTCCACATGGCCAGGCCTCTCTGCGAAGAGGCCGGTCAAGGAGCGGTTTGCCCAAAATCCGGGAAGCCAAACCACCTAGAGCCTGAGTGAAGCTCCCCACTCCCTCACACGGAGGCAAACCTCCAACAAGGGTGCGACGTATTAGTCCAAATTCCTCTCTTGCTTGACTGCTATAAGGCATGGGATCGCCCGGCATCGGCATTTCGAGCCGTCGACCTGCTCACGCAGTCTCCCGACTTGGCTGTTCCAACAAAAGCTTGCATGGGGCGTTCGCACAACCATTCCCGATTCCCCCATGGTGCGGGTGTGGGTGTGGGCTTTTTCCGGTGCATCGAGCTCAACTAGGTCACTAAGTCGAACCAAACGTTTTGCCTGCCTGCTTTGCGCACTCCTGGCGCCCCCCATATTGTATGGGGATTCGCCATCAAGTAAAGACACGACTGCGATCCAAGGCGAAGGAGCAACAACAACAAAGAGTGGCAACGCAAGACACATTCATGAAGTACAGATGCAAGAGATATTCAGGGACCAGCTTGAATGCAGTCAAAGTACTCTTTGAGCAATGTCACCTCCAGCATCGTCCCGTGATTACATCAGCGCCACAAAATGGGCGACCCCTATTGCCTTCGTTGAAGGATCAATGCTGCTCGTATTCCAAGCCAAAAGCAGCATGTAGGCGCCGACGGCGAGGAGATCTCCCCGAGTCCGCCGAATCATCGCCAGGATCGGAAGGCGTTGTGGCAGCGGCCTCCTCAAGCTCCAACCACGGCGTGCTCTCAAGTCCGGGTGTCCCCAGATAGCTTCTGTCCAAATTAAATTGCACGCAGTTGGCTGGTAGTTCTGGTAGTTCCGAATCATGTAACGGTGGGAGTCCAGCGCGAGGTGGGAGGCCAGGACGAAGCGAGGGTGTCAAACCGCGTATCGGCTCCGCAAAGCTCGCAGGGGTGGCAGCAGTCGACGGAAGGGTCATAGGACGGGCCATCCCCGATTTAGGCAGAGGTGCTCCCGGATTGGTTAGTCGCCGGTTTCGCTTAAGGGGAGCTTCCATGACTAGTCCGTGCCCGCGTCGTGGACTTCATAGATGATAATCAGGAGGACCCGAACCTGTAGCAACGTTGTCGAGCATCATGTTGGTCGAGCCAACACAAGCCATGTCAATCAGGTGTAGATTTATTCCCAAAACCTGGCAAAGGTCCAGGGTGTCCAGGTCTGGAGCCATGTGTGTCGAGGCGTACATTATATGTTTAATAGAGGAAGGGCTTTCGCCGCGAAGCTGTCCATCACCCGTTGGATGACCAGTTCTGAATGCGACAGGAATGGGCGAATGTTCCCCTCCGCCTCCAGCTACTAATAGTAGGGAATCGGAACTTATTAGACCGGGCGAGAAGCGCCAACCATCAGCCGGCTGGGTGTGCTGACCATCCTGCAAACGGTGGCGTCTCATCAGCGAGATGAGAAGCCATGGACGGCATCGGCCGGCGACGTCTCGGCCGCCTTCCTCAATGGCCAACCGATCAAGCGTCTCCTCTATATGAGACAACCGAAAACCGGTGTCCCCGACATGGAACCCGGGGCTCTCCTCAAAAAAGAGAAGAACATATTTGGCTTGGTGGACTCCCCGAGGGAGTGATGGCAAGAGTTTCGAGACACTGTCCTCCGAAAGGAAATCGAGCACGAAGACCAACCTACCGGTTCAAGCAGTCGCCCGTGGACTCCTGCATGTTCTTCCTGTACGAGGCGGACGACAAGAAGCAGACCCATTGCGCCTACTTGGGGGTCCACGTTGATGATGTTTTGGTCGCCGGAGAAGGAGAGCTCTCCGAGTCGATCAGGACAGGGCTCAGCGAGGCTTTTCCGATCCCTGACTGGGAGATCAGTTTCTCGGCTCCGGGATCCGAGCGGGTTCTGATGGGGTCAGGATCGACCAAAAGCACTACACCGACACGAGGCTCTTCGAGGTCCCCGTCGACAAGTCCCAGAACGACATGGAGCCGGCTACGAAAGAGCAGCGCATAGACAACCAAAGCCTAGTGGGGGCTCTGTCCTGGTTGGGATCACACTCGTCCGGATTTGGTCTGTGGAGTCTCTATGGCTCAACAGTTGCAAAAGTCTCCCACTGCAGGGGACATCCGGTTCACCAACATGCTCGCCAGGCGCGCCGAGGCTCACCGACACAAGGGAATCTGGCTCAAACCCGTCGACCTGGACAACTACGAGATCTTCGTCTACCACGACTCCGCCTGGGCTAAAGCGAGCTTGGACTCAAGCCGGAGAGGAGAACTTCGCCCTCAACAAGGTCCTCGGCATGATGACAGGAACTCCATACGACTTCAGGGAGCGGAACGCCAAGAAGGCAAACTCCAAAGTGGCGAGCCAAAACGGCATCATGATCCTGATCGCGGACCGCAACTGCTTTGCGAATGGTGGAGGCGAGTGCAGCCTACTGGAGTGGAGATCCATTGCAGGGAAGATAGTCTGCCACTCCACTTCTGCAGCGGAGACTGTGCCACTTTTACAGCGGAGACTTTAGCGTGTTGCGAGGGGCTTGAGGCCGGACAGCTTGTCCGTTCTTTTCTCGCGCCACCTTCAACGGCAAGCTTTGCCGCATTGAGGAGCTCTACGGCAACAACCTGCATTGTTTTTCGGACTGCAGGTCTTTGTACGACCACGTGCATCGCCAAGGACTTCCACGTATCCCCAGCGACAAACGGCTGGCGATAGACGTAGCAGCCATCCGGCAGATGTTGGATCATGAACAGAAGGGCGGAAGAGAGATTCTTCACTGGTTCCTACGCCTGTCCAGCTTGCCGATATCCTGACAAAACCGATGGTTGCTGACAACTGGTGGCGCATGATGTATGAGAGACCAAATCTCCCCTTGAAAGAGGGTGGAGAGTAGAATCAAAGTCAATTCCAGGATGCTGGAAGAGTCTCAATCGCTCAAGGCACACGAGCCGTTTCTGTGGGAAAAGTTTCCTCTGTAGGTCCTAGCTCCTTGGGGGGAGGGTGTGGTTCTAAGTTGTTAACAGTTTCCCCTGCTGTTGACGGTAGTTGGGCATTTGTGGATTGCCCTTGCGACTTTGGAATCGCACTTGACTGGAGCTCTGTTGCCGACCTCCCCTGTGTAATGATGAGCAATTTTCTCCAGAGGTCATGGGCTTCATGTGATCGGGTTAGTGGGCACCCCGGGTCAGTGTTCCTAGAGTGGTCGTATCTAGTTTCAGCCGAATGAAAGGAGCCAGGGGTAGGGCTGACAAAGGAAACGTATCCCCTCTCATGCAGGATCAGCGGATTGTGGCGTAGAGTTTGGGACTTTGATGTTGCCAGTTGAAGATGATTCGAGTGGACACGAAATAGCTCGCCGAACATCCCGGATGCCATGTGGGTATAATGGGGATTTGGGGGATTGGTTCTGCGGCCTCTTAGGTTCAGGGTTACTGCCCCCAGGCTGGCTGAATGCAAGATTCAGCCACCGCAGGGTGGCTGAATCTGTTCGTACGGCATAGAGAGGTTTCTTAGTCACCTGTCCGAAAGGTGCTCAAGAAGAATTCAACTTCTGGTCATCTCTAGGAAATTCAGTCACCCTGTGGCGGCTGATTTGCTTTCGTCGGCTGGATTGTTTCTCTCTGACTCTCTCTTGTTGACACGGAGCATGTCAAGTCTGGGCTCCCTTGTCGTGTTGTGACACATCAGTGCTGACCTGAAAACACTTGCCCCTGGCACGACCACTCGCATCACCATGAATTCATTCCCCGATGTGCGACGTCCATGCCAGAGCTTTTTCCGAAACAATTTATAGGTGAGCAAAGGTCGAAACAATCCAAAGCTTCAATAACGTTATACAATCATGAAGAACCCTACTCGTCCACCTACACAGCACACAGGCGCCAAGAGCGAACCAGTCATTTCTTCAAAACTTGCTGCTTCTCATCTGTCAGCCTGCCTATCACTGTCTGCGTCTATCTGTCCCATGATTCATTGGGCCAGGGAGCCAAGAAAATGGAGCTGAGGTACCTCAGCAGCCAGCGTTTCGACATCTCTGCAGCTCTATCGGCCAAGAATGTTCTTCAACTGGGATCTACCCTGCGTAAGCACTTAGAACTGCAGCTGCTGTGTGCCTTGAGCTATTATTGCCATGTCACAGAAACTGCTGTCGGGAGCGGTGGCTTGTAAGGCTTGTAATTATGCTTACTTCATCGGGTGCTTTCCGGAGCTCAGAGAAAACAGTCCCGAGTTGCCACAAAATCCGATGCTTTCGCTGTGAAACGGCAACATCTGGCACGTGCAGCCGAGAGGCGCGAAGCAGCGCGGACCGCCCAGCTCGCCACCGAAGGCCTTGCAGAGACGTGTTGAGCTCCGGTTAAAAATGGAGCACGCTTGGGCTCGCTTGTGCTTCGTTTCATGCGTTCTCAGCGTGGTGTGCGCCGGCATAGTGCAACTGCGCAAGTCTGAATACGAGGCTCTAGGTAGATCAATGTGAGCAAGTGACATTCCTCGCATCCCGGCGACAGAGGACGTACACAGAGCCAAGAATATCTCAGTTCTGTGCGGGGGGTCAGAATGCCTCAAGCTTGGTCTCCAAAATGCCTAGCAGACATCACCCGGCCCCTGACACCAAGGAAGGCACGCGCCGCCGGATGGCGAGCAAAATCACGCAAGAAACGGCGCAACAGCTGAAGACCTTGTTGCAGCGGCTCAGGCAGGGTAAGGCTGCTGTCCAGGGCTTTGCAACGTCATACTCTCGGCCGAAAAGACAGCGCATCTGTCAAGTCCTAGTGCTCTGTTTCTCGTGGATCTATCTGCCTTTGTTGGACTTGAACCCATGTTCTTTGCGTCATTGTCGACAAACGAATTCACAGTCGCTGTCCACCACAACGAGGTGTTGGCACGAGAAGCCAATGTCCTGACTACTAAGTTGCTCGGCCAGCCGTAGGAAGGACAATTTGTGCATCGGTCACCGCGACAAGTTTTGTTTGCTCGTGATGGGCTCTCTCTGAGCCCATGCTACAAAGTGCCGCTAGCCGTGCAGTGGAAAAACCGGGCATCCCAGAAATGTCCAGAGCTACGAGGTCCAACACTGGGGCTGCAGCCATCACGCTGAAAGCAAGGCCCCCTGCCTCAACGACGAAGGCCTCGGCTGCACAAACAAGTTTAGGCTGCAGAAGATGCTTCATGGCTCTCGTGTGGGCAACACATGAAATGAGGTGTGTAACAGTTTGACAACCTCGCAGAACATGGATATCTTCCCGGCGGCCAAGAGGATGCGAGCTGCAGAAAAACCGAGAACAGTGTCTTGAAGCAGGCCCGAAGCCACCAGATATGCTTGACATCGGGGCTACCTGTACACTGTACACAAGACACCATGACACGGTAAGAACCAAAACTCGTCCTGGATTGCAGGAGGGCCTTGGTGGCGCCTGCTAAGCGTGGGCGTGCTATTACGAACAACCGGCCTTCAGTAGACGCACTGCAGCATCTGCCTTCCTTTGCACACAAGTCCCAGACCTTATGAGTTTGTAGACATCTATGACGCAATCTGCGCCGGTCCCCATGTCGGCTTTCTTGGATGTTGAATGTCCTTTGCTGCATCCCCTACTTAAATCTGCAACTTCTACTACCACTACTGTTACTGCTACTGCTACTGGCACTGATGCTGCGGCGGTGACTGCTGCTTCGGCTCCTACCCGTACTTCGGGGGCTACCTCCTGCTTCTGCTCCTCCTGCAAAACACTACTACTACCACTACTACTCCTCCTCCTCCGAATACTACCTTACTACTACTACTACTCCTCCTCCTCCTTCTCCTCCTCCTACTAACTTCCTACTACTACTAACTTCCTACTACTACTTGCACATACTACTACTACTACTACTACTACTACTACAAAGTAGCTACTACTACAACAACTACTACTACTACTACTACTACTACTACTACTACTCCCCTCCTACTAGCTTACTACTACTACGACAACTACTCCTCCTCCTACTAACTTACTACAACTACACTTACTACTACTACTACTACTACTACTACTACTACTCCTTCTCCTCCTCCTACTAACTTCCTACGACTACTACTACTACTACTACTACTACTACTACTACGACGACGACGGCTACTGC